ATATATATATATATATATATATATATATATATATATATATATGAAATGTATTGTTTATAATGGGCAACAAATCCAACAACTTGACCAGCTGAATACAGGAGTTCCCCTCAGTGTCTCGGATTCATAATAATGTGTTTTATATGTTGTTAGGAGTGAAAGACAGCTTGATGTAGACTCTTTATACACACACAAGTTTTAGCTTGATGTAGGTCTTATTCACCTTGCAATGGGCTAAATATTGGTAAACATAGAGAGTAAGTATTTTCTCTAATCTTGTGTCTTAGTCCCAAATGCACACTTTAAACCCCCTCCTCAAGTCAAGCACATCAATCCAAAACAGCTGTCTCAGTATTTATTTTACGATGTAAGATTACATGTAGTTCTCATGATTTCTTACCAACCAGCTTGGGTTTTTTGCTCACCATGTAATGAAATAGTTCAGACTTATTAAGTTTTGAACTCAAATTTTCATTGCTATTTGCTCATGGAAAAGCACAATATATAAAAATTGTATTTACAGTAACAAGTTTTAAAGTCTCATCCTTCAGTACCTAACAACTAGATCAAATTCCACTGTTTTATCAGAAATTTTGCAATCATACTTCAGCCAAAGAAGTTAACATTTAAATCATAACAATGCATATTGTGTTAGTTTTCATAAATATTGTGTTTCTACTTTAATACAAATCAATTTACTGTATTAAACTGAGTTTTTTAACAAAAATATAAACATTTTTCGAATATTTAACAAACAAATATTTCAAGATCCAGTACACATTGATTAGAGGGAACTAAAAACAGAATATTAAATATGTGTTTATTATACAGAAGTAGAAAAAAACAACAACTAACTAACTACACGTTGATTAGATGGCAATTTGTGAGAAATCTACAAATACAATATTCTTCATAATTTTTCTGAAATGTTTACAATTGGTATAAAAGATTGGCTGCAAAATAAAGCATTACTTGCATTTAATTTGGATTCTATATTTGCTTTATTGATTGTCTTGCCAAAGACTAAATCATCATCTTCCAAATTTTTTTCCATCATGTTTTTGCGAGCTTGAGGAAAATGGACACCGGCAACATGGTGAAAAACAATGAGTTAACACCATATTATCAGTTTACACCAATAACATACACTTTTGTTTTCTTTAATATTACTTTCATTATTGGTTAGAATATTTATTATACATAAATCTTGTTTATTTTGTATTGTCGTACATTTATTAACAAGATTTGACATTGCTAGCAGCTTAGTATATAGCTGTAGGAGTAATCTTAACCTCAGCACATATTATCGGGAATATAGCCATAAAATATTACTGAGACAGAGAGTATTTAAACGGTGTAAAAATACATTCTTAACCTTTATATGCAAGAACTGTATATTTAATCATCTATACTCATTACTGAGGCCATATCATTTGAACTTATGATTACCGTAATGCCTATAAATAATCTTTTTTTTTTCTTTTACATCTATTGGTAGTGGTGACTAATATGGTTCCATAAACAAACAAACACAAAACGATGCAAATGGAAACATTAATCTTGGTGAGTAAATTTTAAAAATGTAACTTTCTGATTAAAACTCTACACTAGTAGAGTAACATTCTATGATAAAATCAAGCCATTACAGGGGTGGCAGCAATACCAGTTGGTTCCATCACAGTTGTTAATTTATATCATTTGATAATTCATGAATGCCTAGTTCGCTTACTGCTGGTAACCTGAAATGAAATTGGATTTGGAAGGAATTTCAGTTGTTGATAATTAATCTACGTTTTTCAGAGAATAACTTGAACACTTTGTGATTTTAAGATACAAAAGAACTTTATACATTTCAAAAATCTGCATGATTACACGTATGCAAGATGGTATATTACAGTGAACAAGAAGAGGAATGAATCAAGTCAGAAAATAAAAATGATAGCAACACATTATGTGTGTCTTACATAGATTTCTTCTTTATGAAAGTTACCGACTGCACATTTGGTTTCTTCCATTCCTAGCTCAGCACCTGTTAGTCTTTTTTTCCTTCTTCTCTCTGGACAATATTGTACGTTCTCCGATTAGTTCAACCCAATCCTCAACTTTCTGGCTAGTGCTACAGTTTTAACTCCTATATCTTCGTTTATACTGTTCAAAAGGGCTGTCAGAAAATATACGAAACACATTATTCATCACCTATCTACGTAACGCAGTAAAATATTCTTATATACTGTTCAAAAGGGCTGTCAGAAGATATACGAAACACATTATTCATCACCTATCTACGTAACACAGAGTAAAATATTCTTGTATACTGTTCAAAAGGGCTGTCAGAAAATATACGAAACACATTATTCATCACCTATCTACGTAACACAGAGTAAAATATTCTTGTATACTGTTCAAAAGGGCTGTCAGAAAATATACGAAACACATTATTCATCCCCTATCTACGTAACACAGTAAAATATTTTGTTAACAAATCATACTTTTCCGTGCATGTTCACTGTAATGTCTGGACTCCACCAAATTAGCCTAATAGTAAAACACTGAGTTCTATTTTACAAACAGATTCTACTCAAAACTTGACCACTAAACTAACAGTACACAAACAAAGTAATTGCTTTCTGAATAATTCATATGTATTTATTGTACTTCAGTTCATTGGATTTACATTATTTTCCCGAGTTAAAATATCACGTTTTAGTCTAACAAGCTCATGAGATATATCCTAGTTATTTAACACCCACTTTTTATGAAACAAACATGTGATATTCTTCTGCAATAAATATAAAATTTATCCTATAGTCTTAGAACACTGCTATCAAACCATATCCAATTGATAGCAGGTAAATACACAATACTGTGTAAACCAAAATTGAACTGAAAAGGACACGTGCAAGTGTCGTAACTTGCTTCCATATGGACAGGTTCTGTATTAGTGTATCTAAATCTTAATATAAATTTTTATCTGCTTTGTGTACAATCTGCTGGTTTAGCAATTATACACTATACAGTAGTAATTTAAATAATCATAATCTTTTTTCTTTTCATAATTATAATTATCTAAGAAATTCATTAACTTAGATACACTTCCACCCAATACTTGTTGCTGACCAAGCTTAGCTCTCTATTTCAGAAATACCTTTTTTCTATATAATTCTGAACACACAAGTGCTTGTTAATTTGTTTGAATTGCATATATATATATATAGTTTTGGCAAATCAATTTTTCATCCAAAATTCCTTACGAGTCAAATTGCAAATATCTGCTTTCAATATTTGAAATTTCAAGTTGTTATATTAGCAATAAAATTGGACAAAAGACAATATATAAACTAAATCTATGTGTTTTATCTTTAATACAGACTATACCTATTCTTATGCTCACTTATGATTCTGACTTTTCTCTGCTCCTTTGAAACTTTCACACAAGAAAATGATCAACGTTTGAGAGCTTTCATTTCAATATCA